ACCTGCGGGCAGAGAGCGGTGGGCAGTGGGAGGATGCGTGTGCACGGTGGGGGAGGACGGTCACCCAGAGGGAGCTGGCAGGGGTGATGCGGGCCATCTGGGACCCACCAGCTGCTTCTGTAGCTGGAAATGGCTTTTTCCTTTTGTTCCTAAGTCACTACTCTGGTGTGCAAGGGGACCTCAAAATAATTTTGTGTGCGTGTGAGTGTAACAAATTGAGGAGGTCAGCCTAATTGGACATGTGTGTGTGTGTTTTGTCGCTCAGTCGTGTCTGACTCTTCGCGACCCCATGGACTGTAGCCCACCAGGCTCCTCTGTCCATGGGGATTCTGCAGGCAAGAACCCTGGCAGTGGGCTGTCATCCCCTTCTCCAGGGGATCTTCCCCACCCAGGCCTTGAACCCAGGTCTCCTGCATTGCCGTCTGAGCTACTAGGGAAGGCCTAATTGGAGGACACACTTTAAATGACCCAGCATGGTCTTTTCAGAGTTGAGGACTGGGTGAAGTGTCTTGAAGCCAAGGTCCCTTGGTGCAGCTGCTGACCAGGTTGTGGGGAGGCTCCGGGGTGGGGTCGTGAAGATGCTCGGGATTCGGGAGTGAGGAGCGGGGAGTGGGCCTGGAGCTGGAGGAGCGGCCCCGCCTGCCGGTCCAGCCCCAAGGTGGCTCAGCGCCCCCGCCTCCTCTGCCCACAGCCCCACCGCGGGCCTCATCCCGAGGGTCCCCTGCCCGGAGTCTGAGCTTCGCGGCGTGTGCTCTCTGCTCCAGGCCTCGCGATCGCTTCTAGCGTCAAGGCCGCTGTGGTCATCTCGGCTTCTCTTCCCTGCCCCTGCGCCTTCCGCCTGCCTCTGTGCTCACCCCCGGGGAGGTAGGCTGGGAGCGCACGTGTGTCCTGACCCTGGGACCACAGCACAGTAGTCCGGGGTCACCTCTCGCAGAGATGGATGCAGCGCTTGGACATAAATTTTTTTTTCTGTGGTTCATTGGAGGGAATGCAAGGGAGAAGTCCATGGAGCTAAGAAGAGGGAACAACTTCTACTCTTAGTTGTAGCCTGTTTCTTGCTCGTGAGAATGAAACTTTAAAAGGTCTAAATCAAACTCTGGAGTTCACATTTATTTTCAGTAATTTTCATTTCATTTCTTATACCTTCTGGATCCTTAATTGTCCACTGGGTGTGCATATGCCTCATCTTTTTTCCCATCCCTGATGATTTTCCTGTGATGTTTCTTAGTAAGCAGAAAATTTTAACTTTGATGTAGTCGAAATTTATAAATTATTTATTTTATGGTTTGTGGCTTTTTGGACCTTGTTTAAGACATCCTTTCCTACCCAGATGTCAGGAAGTATTCTTAAGTTCTATATTTAATGCATTTTTCTATGAGAAACTCAAGGAATTGGGATTTTTAACCTCACATAGCACATCAAAATTAATTTGTATATTAAATTACTTTTCATGTTTAGCCTTTCACATTTCGGTCTGAAGTTCATCCGCAGTTAATTTTGATGTGTTATGTGAGGTTAGAAATCCAAATTGATTTCTGTTCTATGAATATGAATTAGTCTCAGTTCGGTTGAAAAGACTATCCTTTCTACTTCTGTGGTGTATCACATATCAGCATGCTGCTGCTGCTGCTGCTGCTAAGTCGCTTCAGTCGTGTCCGACTCTGTGCGACCCCACAGACGGCAGCCCGCCAGGCTCCGCCATCCCTGGGATTCTCCAGGCGAGAACCCTGGAGTGGGCTGCCATTTCCTTCTCCAATGCCTGAAAGTGAAAAGTGAAAGTGTAGTCGCTCAGTCGTGTCCGACTCTTGGTGACCCCATGGACTGCAGCCCACCAGGCTCCTCCGCCCATGGGATTTTCCAGGCAAGAGTACTGGAGTGGGGTGCGATTGCCTTCTCCACGTATCAGTATGAGTGTGAGCCTGTTCTGTTGGTCTGTTTTATGCCCATACCATGCTCTTATTTTTTTAAAAATCTTGATATCAGAGAGGACATTCTTCAAGAGGGTCTTAACGTGTCTTGGCCATTTAAAATTTTAGAATCAACTTAGTGAAGTTCCACACTCCCCAAATAAAGTTTGGGGATCTTGAGTGGGATTGCATTGAGCCTATGAATTAATTTGAAGAAAACTGATAGTTTATAATATCAAATCTTCCTCTACAGTCTTTTAAAACATCTTTAAAAAAATTCCGTAGTTTTTTTCTTAGGCATATTACGGATCTTTTGGCATTTCACATATTTTTTATACTGTTGCAAATATTATTTTTAAGGCTTAAATTTCTGTTTGCTGTTTGTATAGAAATTAAGTTGATTTTTCTACATTGATAATTGATTATTCTACATTGTTTAACTCTCCTAACAGTTTATACGTGAATACCTTTGATAGTCTACAAACAATCATATCATTTATGAAGAATTCAAATATATAAGACTTTCTTTCCAAGCTTTATGCCATTTATTTACTTCCTGCCATTACACTGGCTGGAGTCTGTTTACTTGTCTAGAGAGGTGGACATACTTGTTCTTCTAATTTCAAAGGGAAATTTTCTGCACTTAACCATTAAGTATAAAGTTTGCTGTAGCATTTTTCAGGAGGGTGGAGTAGATAATTTAATAAAGAGAAAAGACGTGATTTCTATTCCTACTTTTCTAAGGGTTTTGAATCATGAATATTGAATTTTACTAAAAATATTTTCTGTACATGTTAAGAAGATTATACTATTTTTCTGTTTTTAGACTGTTAATGTGAGAAGTTGGATTCCTGATTCTGGCATGTTAAGCCAGCTTAGTATCTGGGATAAAATCAACTTAATATTTTATGTATTAGTGACTTCAGTTTGGTGATGCTTTGACTGTGAGTTTTTGTGTCTTGTGTTCGTGAAAGCTTAGTTTGTGATTTTTTTTCCCTTTTCATACCAACTTTGCTGTTACAATAAGACCTTGAAAACTTTAATTTCATTCTGAGGTTCCCTGAGGAGTAAAAATTAAGCTTTTTGATGTGAGAGCCACTGTTGCATTGAAATAGGACTATTTACCTATGCATGTAGCACAAGGAATATCAAATATTTGGAATTGGTTTCCCTTGGAAAATTTCAAATCATGTTCAGAATGCTTCAGTTTGGTTAAGGAGAAAACTCCTTTATAGCAAATTGCTTCACAGAGGAAAAGAGTTCTTTTCAAAATCATTGCAAGAATGTTGTTGACTTGTATGTAACGAGCTCATCCTTTGATGAACTGGTTTTTTAAAAAGATAATTAGATTTAAAACTTGCCCATGAGTCCATTTCAGTCTCTGCATGGAATGTCAGTGTGGAAAGAGCTTATCCTTTCCTGGGTGACCTGTGATAGTAACAGTTTGGGGACTGAGTCAGTAATTGAGTGGTATGTTTTCTAAATAAAAAAAGTTTTTGGAAGCAAAAGACAAGTGTTGTAAGTTTAAAAAGTAAAATCTAGATAAAAGCCACCTGGTGTAAAATATTTCTAAAATTTGGTTAATTTGGCTGCGCGGGGTCTTAGTTGCAGCTCGGTGCCTTCTCTCTGGCTGAGGTGTGCAGGCTTCTCTTGGGCTGTGGGACACGGGCTCTAGAGCGTGCCAGCTTCTGTAGTTGCGGCGCTTGGACTTAGTTGCATGTGGGTTCTTAGCCCACTAGGGATTGAACCCACGTCCCCTGCATTGGAAGGTGAATTCTTAACCCCTGGACTCCCAGGGAAATCCTAAAATACATGTTATAATTTTGGTTGGCGTTAACTTTCCAGGGCATCTATATCTTTCTCTATATCAACATATTCTTTGCGAGAGTGTTCAGAAACCCCCTGGCAACCCTGATGCTGTAACTTCCTCAGCTCCTGGGACCCTCGCATCCCTAATTATAACCTCCCCCCCCACCGCCTGCATTTCTGAGATAGTCTGGGAAAGGACCAAGAGCCAGGTGCAGGTGAGTAAATATATAGATGTGTGTAATCAATGGAGACCACTGATCCTTGAAGCAAATTGGACGTTAAGGAGCCTGAATCCAGAAAAAAGCAAAGTGTGCTAAGCGGTGGCTTTCGCGAACACCTGGGCTATTCATATCCTTTACTGCATACATGACTTATGTTACTGATCAGATGGTAGCTTCCCCAGGTTTTGTGGTGGCGATGAGCTGGTAAAGAAAATATTAGCATTTTAGGGTGAGAGGAGATGCTAGCCACCATGCAGTATAGTGTCCTCATCCCAAGGATGACGCCAGTGGCCTGAGATCCGAAAGGTATTTGTTAGAGCTGGGGCTAGATTTGTTTGTTTCTTCATTCATGGAGTCAGTACACTTTTACTGAGAACTAGTGTGCGTGGCGAGTTGTTCTTCCTACTGGGGATACGGTGGTGAACAAGGTCCTTCCCTCCTGGGACCTGTATTCCACAGGAGGAGGCTGGCGGTGAGTAACGTGAGCGGCGTGGAGAGGTGGCCAGAAGGGCAAGGAAGTGAGGGGGGAGAGGATGATGGGGTGCTACTGGGTGGGGTGGTCCCTGAGGAGTGACCTTTGGAATGAGGACGTGAGCCTGCGGTCTTGGAAAAGGGAAGAATGTTCTAGGAAGAGGGAACAGGAAGCCCAGGTGGTCAGTGCTCCGGGCACCAGGTCGGGGGAGGCGGGCTGAGGCGGGTTGGCCGGGGAGGTGGGCCTAGCGGTGTCCACGGTGGGGCCCTGGCCAGGTCGCCAGGGCTGGAGGCCTGGGGAGAACCTTCGGGAATTACTGATCAGTGTCAGAGGACGTTGGAACGTTTAGCCCGGGGAAAGGGCACAGCTGACGGCGGGTGTGCACGGTGCAGTCTGGCTTCTGTTGAATCATCTGAAGAGAGACCAGCGTGGGAGGATGGTTGGGGGGAGGTGGCTGCGGTTTGACGGTAAGAAACCAGGGGAGGTGAGCCAGAGAGATGGCGGGACGGCTTCTGAGGTGTTTTAAAGGTTCAGCAGCGGGACGGGCGGCAGCTCTGGGTGCAGGACGCCAGGGAAACCCAGGCTCCTCACCGTTCCGCCTGTCCCCTTCCACCCCGCTGCCCTCCTTGGAAAGCTTTGCTAGGATGCGCTTGTGCGTGTCTTTCCCCGTGCATGTTTCCGTCACGGCTTCAGGCCTTTCACTGGGCAGCCTTCTTGTCTGCGGTGATGGACCTTTTGTTTACAGCACACCTGCCCACAGGGGTCACTAACTCTGCATCTGATTGACTTGAAATGCCCGCACCTGGTGCAGTTCTGGTGCACCTCTGGAGACGTCACGATGTTTTCCTCTCATCTCTGCGTTGACCTGAAAATCCGCTAAGTCTTTTTGAGGTGAGGTTTGGCATCGAGATAAGACGGGGCATTAATATGGCAGCGGCAGCTCGGTGTGTTGGCAGCTAAAAGAAATCATCCTGGAAGGAGGAGGGAATCTATTGGTTTGTGCTCGCTGGCTGCAGAGAGCTGTCTGCATGCAGAGCAGACCCGATAATGCAGCGCTTCGACGGTGCCAGCTCATTAAATGGATCAGAGGACCGTGCTCCAGGAGGCAGCGTCCCTTGATGCTGTGCAGTGACACCGAGTCTCGACTCTGAATTGATGCCAGAGGCAGATCCGTTCGATTTCGTGAATACTGATTGCCGGCTGTTTTTCTTTTTTTTTTCCTCCTTCTCAAATGCAGGGAACACGTGTTCAAGCAGGATTTCTCCACGAATGAAATACTCCTTTTCATGTAGGCTGTTACCGCCAGATTTTGTTCATGCTTCTTATCATAACTTTGAGTGTCATTGGTGTTCTTTGAAGGAAAAATACGGAATAGACACCCCGATCACTGGTTTTCGAGTGGGACTCCAGAGGTGGGATGAAATGAGCATTTTTACGTCTCCCATTTCGGACTCTTCCCCACCGCTGAGTTACCAAAGGGAGGAATACGTGGAGTTGGTGTGTTTCCAAAACTGGCCTTATCAGTAGTTTACATGCCAGGTTGAAGGTTTCTCACGAAGCAGACGTCCCATCTTTTTAGGCAGTCTATGAGGATCACAGTGCGTTTCATTGTGAGAGCAAATGTGGGTGGAAGTGGCTCTTTTGAGTTGCTGTGGAGCCCAGGGTTTGGAGCAGGAAGCAGCATCTGGACCGCGGGAGTGGTTTCAGTGCTCAGAGATGTTCCCAGGTGAGTCAGGGTCAAGGTCCCATGTTAGCCCCCATCAGCTTTGTGCAAATTATGCACCAGTGTGTGCACGGACCTCAGATCCTTAGATCAGAGAGTACCTGCGAGTGACCTAGGGAATCTCGTAAAGCGTGGGAGTCTTGGTCTTTTAAAGCGACCCCTCAGTTGCATCTGATCCGTTTGTCAGTCTCCTCCTTCAGACTCCACCCCTCCAACTTGCTGGATGGCAGACCTTGCCAGGTCTCTTACAGAGGCATTCCCCGGAGGTGGGGAAGTGAGGAGTGTGTGGATAATTCTTTAAAAAGATTTGGCAGGGCGGAGAGGGAAAAAAAAGAGACGAGATGGAAGTGAAGAGTGACGTTGTGTCCAGGCAGGTTTCTTTCAGGCGGGAAGGGAATGAGAGGCAAATGAGAAAGAGGCCGAGAGCAGAGGGGAGAGGATGACCAGCTGGGGAGGCCGGGGCAGCGGGGCTGAGCTCGGGGAAAGGGTCCTGTGTGCAGGCTCCTCCCTTCATGTCATCTGGCCTTCTGCAGGGTTTATCCTTGTCCGCTCCTGCCCTTAGCAACCAGTGGGCTCCCGCCCTTAGCAACCAGTGGATGGATGACCGTGCGCCGTCAGCCCCTCCCCGCAGGTCTGACCTGCGTCTCCGGTCTCCTTAGTCTCGTCCTCCTGGTGTCACCCATCCTTGGCAGCTTCCCCACCGCCTTCTTCTTGCTGCCCTCATCCTGCTCTGCTCTCTGCGGGCTCTCTCGTTTGATTGGTGGTCCGCCATGCGGTCCCCAGGGCACTCCCCACCTTCCCTGCAACAGAGCATCAGTTACCAGTTAGACTATAAAGACGTTTTCTAATGAAGCTTCTTTCTAGGTTCTTTTTACAGAGTAACTCATGCACATGGTTAGAAAGCTGACTCGTGCAGAATGGCGTAGATTTAAAGAACTCTTGTCTTCCTGATCTTGCCTCCCAGTTCCCAGAGAAAGGAACCCTTCTCTCGCCTGTAACTGCCTCTCCTGGTAGCCCTTGCTGTGTGTCTTGAATTCTGTACTTAAGCTGATGTTTCCTCACTTGTCGGCGTGGACAGCATCTGCTGGTTTCCGGCCAAGCTTTCCGCCTCTCCAGCTCCTTGACCTAGCATCGCTATGTCAGTGTTCAGTTCTCCTTGTTCAGTAATACAAGTAATATAGTTAGATCGTGTATCTTGCCTCATCCCTCCAGGCGGAGTCACCTGGTCCCTGACTTGCTGGGACCTCACTGTGTCTCCCTATGCCCTTCGGTCCCTTCCAGCTGACTTTCCAGCTGCCCGGGTAGATACCTTGCATGTGATACGTTGATCCAGTGATTTCCCCTCAGAGCTTTGAGACGCTGCTCCACGTTGGGGTCCATTGTTGCCGATAAGCGTGATCTCAGCCTAATCGTGTTTTCTTTGCAGGTGACCTATGCTTTCTCTTTGGAGACCTTTAGAATAGTCTCTTTACTTTGGGGTTCTGAAATTTCTCTGTTGTGTTCAGGAGTGTGTGCTTGTGTGTGTGTGTTTTATTTCCCTAATTTTCCAATTTTTCCTACTAATTTTCTGCCATTTTCTCTGTTCACTTTTTTCTAGAACTTCTGTTAGATGATGGACAATTAGACAAACTGGAACTTATCTTTTAGATGCCTATATTTTCTTTTTCTGTATTCTGGATGGCTTTCTCTGCTTTATCTTCCAATCTTTTATTGATTAAAGAGCTTGTGAGAAATCTGCTCACCAGCCCAAAACCAAGAGATGGACTTGGAGACATGAAGCACAGCGAAAGTGAGACTTTTAATGATCGTCTTGCAGGATGGGGTGTCTGGTGGGCAGGCCCCCCCAGGGCGTTTGCAACAAGCAATGTATCCCCTAACACGCAGGTGCTCCCCTCCCGGGTTCCTCATTGGCTGAGTACCGTGGGGTGTACAATCTTCCCGGAGGTCACCTGTCTCATTATTTCCTTTTTTCTCCCTTCCCAACTTATATCCGCAGTTTTCAAGGAGGACTTCTGTACTAGTTTACCCCTTCCCCCAGCATCCTGTTTGCTTGGGAGCCTCCAGGTGGCTGAGTTGTGTCTCCTCTGCAAGTCTTTAGGCAGATTTGGAGCCAGGGCACAGGCAGTGGGTGGAGTCCTGTCTCTTTGGAATCTCCCTCCCCCAACCCTAAGTTTAAAGAGTCCAGGCCTCAACTTTATCTAAAGAACCCCGGCTTCAACTTTGTTTTGAAAATGGACCATTTCGAGTAAGTTTGTTTCTTTTGATTTTTTTGTGTGTGTGGGTATGTACTTCTTTTTTGTTCTGCGATTGATTTTTTAATAACATCCTGAACTTATTTATGGATGCAGTGTTTTTTGAGCTCTTTGAGAATAATGATTGCATTTTAAAAACTTCTTTTAAAGGTACAGAAACTTCCCGTGTACCCTCTGTTCCCATGCATGCATAGTCTCACCTGTTGTCAGCATCCTCACCAGAGTGGTACCCATGGAATAGCTGATGAACCTCGACTGACATAGTCACCCAAAGTCTGCAGTTTATGTTAAGATTGACTCTTGGTGTTGTATGTTCTGTGGTGGTTTAGTCACTCTGTCGTGTCTGACTCTTTTGCAACCCCGTGGACTGTAGCCTGTTAGACTCCTCTGCCCATGAATTTCCCAGGCAAGAATCCTGGAGTGGCTAAGCCATATCCTTCTCCAGGGGATCTTCCCGACCCAGGGATTGAACCCATGTCTCCTGCATTGGCAGGTACATTTTTTTTTTTAACCACTGAGCTACCCATGGCCTTGAATAAATGTATACTGACATGTTTTCATCTTTACATTATCATACAGAGTATTTTCCCTGCCCTAAAAATACTCGTACTCCACCTCAGCATCTGTCCCACCACTCCATCCCTTGCAACCACTGATATTTAACTGTCTCCACAATTTTTTCTTGTTTGCAGCATTGTTTTTTTTTTTTGTAGTTGGACTCAAAGTACAATATGAAGCCTTTTCAGTTTAGCTTCTTTCCCTTAGTCGCATGCACTCCAGTTTCCTCTGTGTCTTTCATGGCCTCAGAGCTCACTTATTTTTAGCACTGAATAATGTTCCATTGTCTGGATGTGCCCACAATTTGATTATTCACACATGAAGGACACCTTGTTGGTTTCCAAGCTTTGACAGCTATGAATAAAGCATCTATAAAAATCCGTGTGCAGGTTTTGTGTAGACATACGTCTTCAGCTCCTTTTGGTAGATACCGAGGAGTATGATTGCTGGATTCTATGCTAAGAGTATAAGTAGTTTTATAAGAAACAGCCAGACCATCTTCTAAAGTGGGGCTCTTCTATTTTGCATTCCCACCAGCAGGGAATGACAATCCTGTTGCTCCACATCCTTGCCAGCATTTGCTGTTGTCAGTGTTTGGAATTCTAGCCATTCTAACACTATACACTAGCCACTAGTGTATAGTGTTATTGTTGCTTTAATTTGCACTTCCTTGATGATGTCTGATGTTGAATATCTTTTCATGTGCTTATTTGCCATCTGTGTGGTGGTAAGGTATCTGTTCAATGAGTTGTCTGTTAAGACGTTGGCCTGTTTTTTAAACAAGCTTTTTTTGTTTTCTTCTTGAGTTTTAAGAGTTCTCCATATATTTTGAATATCAGATGTGTATTTGCACATATTCCCCCCTGTCTGTGGCTTATCTTCTTGACATTGTCTTTAGCAAAGCAGAAATTTTTTTATTTTAATGAGGCCAGCTCACCAACTTTTTCTTTTATGTACAGTTCTGTGTATTCTTGCCACCTCGTCTTAATATCTTCTGCTTCTGTTCGGTCCGTACCGTTTCTGCCCTTTATTGTGTCCATCTTTGCATGAAATGTTCCCTTGGTATCTCTCATTTTCTTGAAGAGATCTCTAGTCTTTTCCATTCTATCGTTTTCCTCTGTTGCTTTTCATTGATCACTGAGGAAGGCTTTCTTATCTCTCCTTGCTGTTCTTTGGAGCTCTGCATTCAGATGGGAATATCTTTCCTTTTTCTCCTTTGCCTTTTGCTTCTCTTCTTTTCACAGCTATTTGTAAGGCCTCCTCAGACAGCCATTTTGCCTTGTTGAATTTCTTTTTCTTGGGGATGGTCTTGATCCCTGCCTCCTGTACAATGTCACGAACCTCCGTCCATAGTTCTTCAGGCACTCTGTCTATCAGATTTAATCCCTTGAATCTGTTTGTCAACTTCCATTGTATAATCATAAGGGATTTGATTTAGGTCATACCTAAATTTCCCTACCTTCTTCAATTGAAGTGTGAATTTGGCAATAAGGAGTTCATGACCTGAGCCATTGCCAGAAGTATCAATAACCTCAGATATGCAGATGGCACCACCCTTATGGCAGAAAGTGAAGAGGAACTAATGAAGTGGAAGAGGAGAGTGAACAAGCTGGCTTAAAACTCAACATTAAAAAATCTAAGATCATGGCATCTGGTCCCATCACTTCATGGCAAATAGATGGGAAACAATGGAAACAGTGACAGACTTTATTCTCTTGGGCTCTAAAACCACTGCAGATGATGACTGCAGCCATGAAATTAAGAGATGCTTACTCCTTGGAAGAAAAGTTATGACCAACCTAGACAGCATATTAAAAAGCAGAGACATTACTTTGCTGACAAAGATCCGTCTAGTCAAGGCTATGGTTTTTCCAGTAGTCATGTATGATTGTGAGTGTTGGACTCTAAAGAAAGCTGAGCGCTGAAGAATTGATGCTTTCGAACTGTGGTGTTGGAGAAGACTCTTGAGAGTCCCTTGGACTGCAAGGAGATCCAATCAGTCCATCCTAAAGGAAATCAGTCCTGAATATTCATTGGAAGGACTGATGCTGAAGCTGAAACTCCAATACTTTGGCCACCTGATGCGAAGAACTGACTCATTTGAAAAGGCCCTGATGCTGGGAAAGACTGAAGGCAGGAGGAGAATGGGACAACAGAGGATGAGATGGTTGGATGGCATCACTGACTTGATGAACATGAGTTTGAGCTAGCTCTGGGAGTTGGTGATGGACAGGGAGGCCTTGGCGTGCTGCAGTCCATGGGGTGGCAAAGAGTCGGACACGACTGAGCGACTGAACTGAATTGAAGTAGTGACTTTTTGGAGGTTGATTCAAGACAAATCCTGATTTAGGATCATGCTTAAGTGGAGTCCTTTGGGGGTATCTGTGGCTTGCATACCTTTGTGTGGAGTTCATTCTCATGGTTACCTATGGATAGAGTTCATTCATTCTCATTGCTGCAAAATATTCCATCATGTGAGTATAGGGTGGTTTATTTAGCCAGCCTGTCATTTATGGACATTTTGACTTGTGCCCACTTTTACACTATTGTGAATAATGCTGCTAGGAACATTCTCCTACAGATATCTTGAGAGATGTGCACTCATGGTTCTGCCAAGTGTAATAGATAATGGGGAGTGGAATGCTGGTCATAGAGCATGTATGTCTTCATCCTTGCTAGATACTGCCAGCAATTCTAAAGGAGTTATACCAATTTATGCAACATCTGAGAAAGCAGTGTCAGATTTTAAAAAATTACCATTCTGGTGGGTATAGAGTGGCATCTTATTGTAGTATTTCTTTATGTTTTCCTGATGGCTGAGTTGAACTTTTTTTTACACATCACATGAATATTGGGTTTTCTTCTTCACTGTTATCACAGTTATCTTTTTCTTTTTGATTTACAGGGTGTTTTAAAAAGTGTGTTTTGGATTCAAATTATTTGTCAGTTTTATGTGTTACAAACATCTTTTGCCGCTCTGTGACTTGTCT